GGCCCGGAGGCTTCAACGCGCGTTTTTTTTGAGGGAAAACGGTTAAAATCGTTAAACGTAGAGCCGCGTTACCGGTACCGGGTGTCGACCTGGGGCTGCCCGGGCACTGCTTGGCCTGGGTGGGCTCGCAGGGAGCGGCGCTGCCGGCTGGTCCTGGGCCAGGCCCTGCTCCCCACCCTGGCCTTGACACTGACCCTGACCCCAGCCCCGGGTGGACCCTCTCCTCTCCCCTTAATTCTCATTTATTTCCTTAGAAGCGGCAACGGGATGAGCGAGCTTTTCCCGGGGGGCTGCTGGCATGCTCTGATCCCAACCGGCACCGACTGCCAGGGAGAAGCTTGGGGTCAAGCACGTCGCTCCTCTGCCTGGGCGCCATCGGTCATGTCTCCACAGAGTGATGACAACTCGAATCCCTTCCTCCGACCAAATTCCTTCTCATGACTGAATTCCTGTGACCTTTAGGTCTTTCAGGAAAATGATATTCTCTCCCAGCACTTCCCACTACTCTCTTGAATAAACTCTTTCTCAAAGTAGGTGAACGCGATCCATTGACATCTGGTTTAACATCATTCCGATGAAAGGGGTTTCTCATCATTGCCTCCGAGAGAGTCTCGGTGGCACCTCTCATCCCCAGGTGTTCAGGTTGCTGGTTTTTTTCCCCTGTTAAACTTAATGCTTTGGCCAACCCCATCCTGGGGAGCAAAATGCTTTTGATTGATTGTGTTGCATTTGGTGTAGTTCCTCCGGCTTTTAGTTTACTGCCCCATGAAATGTTGCGAAACAAAGCAGGGTTCTGGAGTTTGGTTGTGTAGACCAGCTGCACGTGTCTGGTTTGGGGAATTTGTCGGGAACAGAAAGGTTTGGGCATTGTCTGTGTGTACAGAAATGATGAATGTTTTCTTCCGAGTCCGGCATTCCCGGCCTATTGAACCGCAAAGGCTCTGTTCTTGTATCATACAGGAATTATAATATCTATAGGGTACAAAGAGATTGCTTACACTTAACAAAAGAGTAGATGAGTATGCTTCTTTTCTGGCTTAATTGTTTAAATTTTGTTTGAGTTTCTTCTTTGTCTCTGTTAGGAGACAGATAAGTGTGGAGACTCAGGTGCTGGTAGCCCAGCCCAGCTCACGCTGGTAAATAGAAATTGATGTTCCTTGTCTGATCTTGCTACCATTAACAACGACCGCTATTAGAAGCACTGACACTGCGTCTAAAAACTGTATTTCCAGTAAAAGAGAATGGTCTTATGGTTAAATCGTGGGGCCTTTTAGTCTTGATCATTCCAGAGACCTCAGCCAAGCTGCTGAAAATTTCTCTGTCCCTCCGACTCTTCCCCAGTAAAGTCTGAATAATTTGTCTTTCAGGTGGCTTTTTGTATTTACCTACATATTCTTTAAATTCGGTACCTGAGTTTAGTGATGTGGCACCTTAAAATATTCACTCCGGATGTTCTTAGCACCTTTCATTTATTAAAATAGACCTTAGGAATCTGATTCATCCTTAATTTATGCTCTCTTTGCTCTGTCACTGCCTATTTACACTCAATTACTAGGGAGTTTCATTCCCTGGCTCTCAAGTGCTGCCTTCAGAGTGCAAGGCAACAATTACATGCAGAAGGTAGTTGTCTGTAATGTTGTGAAAATAGCACATTTGGGGTTTTTATGTCAAGTATTACAAAACGCAGGCTTTGCCTTGCATCCTGGACGCGAAGGAGTCCCATCAGTTCATGGATCAAACTTGCACTAATGACAGCAGCTTATTTGTTAAATTGTTATAACTTAGAGAGGAGAGAAACTTGACTTCTTGCCATAGTGATGCAAGATGACACCATTTTCAAATCTGTAAACGAAATGGGAGGTTTCATCTTGGTTGGCTTGATGACATTTTTATTGAAATGCTCCTTTTTCTCTCCCTGGTGTTCTCATCTTAGCACTCAAAACAGGTCAGATGAATATCCCTCCCAGAAGCTGAGGATTACAGAGAGTTTGCACAAATTCCAACTACTAATATGCAAATGTAATGAACAAGCAAGACTCTTGTTGGCAACCTACAACAAACATTCCAGGCCTGCACCAGTATTTATTCCTATCTTTATGAAAACTTCTGAACAGAGTGTGCCTGAGCCTTCAGGAAGCAGATCCTGGCTGTGTCTGAGCAGAGCTGCTTGTGATCTGCGACTGGATTTCAACACCCCTTAACATCAAAGGTTCTTAATCCATGTCCTGGGTTCTCTGCGGATTCATCTTTAGCTTTAATGGGAAGGTTCTTCTGAACAAAACCACCTCTCTGATGGCTTTTCACAGCTCCACTATGCTTTTTTCGATCCTCACCGCTTACCTTAAGTGGCTCTGAAATGCGTCCGAGCCTACAAAGGGTTTTCCTTTAAGCTGTGCGCTGCGCGTGGTGAGTCATCCTGCAGAACTCACACATGCAGTTTCGCAAATACCAGATGGCAATAAAATTAAAAGTAGTAGGTAGTGGCAATTAAGCATTTGCTATAACCATTCTCCCTTCCTGACTGTAGGAAGCTGCCAAATGTCTTTTTTCTTTTTTCTTTTTTTTTCTTTTCCTTGACCGAAAAACCACACAAACGATGTTTCTGCAGAGTGGAAAATTAACAGAACACAGGACACATGCTTCCTTTCCTAGCCCGTAATCCCGTTTGGACTTGAGTGGAAAGCTATTTGCTGTATTTCATACATCTCTAGGAGAAGGTGAAGCAGAAAAAACATGCAGTAAAGCAAAATTTGGGGTGTTGTATGGGCACATGCAAAAAGTATTTCAGCAGTGACCCTTTTAAACCCACAAACTGGTTGCTTGTAGGCCTGCAGGATGTACAGCTTTTTAAACAAGATTATATTCAGGCATGCTATGGAGTTGCTGGGATTTAGTTTAGATTTTTTGTTTTGTTTTTATACTGCAGGCTGTTGCAAAGGATCTGCTCCACAAACTTGGAAATAGTTCGAGCTCATTAACGTAGGAAGCATGTCCAAATACCATTGTGTTTGGCTCAGTATAAATAACAATGACTGCTCCCCTTCCTTTTCAGTGACTCTTGCTGCTTGGCATGTCTCGGATTTATCAGCAGTACACAAATAGTTATTAGCTTTTTCAAGCCCCAGATACTCTACCTCGGCCCTTCCTTCCGATGTATTACACATTCAGCATGCTTCATCCATTCGGTTATTTACAAGTCACATGTGATGTGACCTTGCCAAAACTTTTTAGAGATAAATCTCTCTTAATTTATGCATACCTGGCCAGGAAGGATTTTTTTCATGATTCATGTTGCAATAAGAAGCACAAATCTACTTCTTCCTAACATGTAAACAACACAACACTTGATTTTTTTTTTTTTATTTCCCCCATCATAACGGATAATTAGTGTCTTATTTATAGTGACTCCTATTAAAGTGATCTTATCATTATTAGTTTTTACATGGTACTTTAAGAAATGCTAAGATGTTTTCATGCTACGTTGGGCACAGATGAGGAAAGGGTGAGGCCAAACCAGCTCCACGTCACCGCTATCACGAGCTGCAGTGTTTCTAGCACTGTCCTGGCAAGGAGAGAAGCGTCAGGGGCTGATGGTGCATCGCAGCAGCTGAGGAGCCCAGGCTGGGCGATGCGAGAGCAAAAGGAAAAATCAGTGTGGATATAGGGGCTTTATATCAACAGTTTCTCTTTGGAAGATCTCCTCCTAAATCCTAGTCTGGTGCCAGCGAGTATTTCGTGTTGTCTGTTGAGTAGCACCTCTTAGTGTGCTGTGCAACCTCTTTCTTAAAACACACTTTAATCCCCCTGGGACGCGAAAGCAGCAAGTGCAACAGCTTCTGAAAAGCAATTATATGACTGGTAGAAAGGCCAGAATTAGCAGATACCCAGATAACCTGATAAACAGAGAGAAGTCAGGAGAAGTCTTGCCTGGAAGACCTGTTGAAGTCCCTTGAGTACATCCTGAAACACATGGGTGGGGAGAGCCAGGTGCTACAGTCTACTTGAATTTCCAGGAACCTTTTTAAGGATAAGCAGCCTCTATTTGTGGAAAGCAGGTGCAGATTAGAAGGGAAGAATGGACAAATAACAGAAAAAAAGATTGAAAAAAAAAAGAGTGGGTCAGCATGACCAGTCACCTCTGTTCGCAGGTGGACATCACCAGTGGAAGCCTGCAGGGATCTTCACCCCTCAGTGTACCCGCAAGCACTTTCTCCTTTTGTGAGCAAAGTTTTGGCAAGTTAGAACCTGAGCTAAAAAACTATAGGTATTTCGTGGACCATCCAGCTTTGGTGGTATTTGAGTTACTGAAATCTCTACCGGCTAGGCAGAGAGTTGTCCTAAAGATTCCCACGGTAGGGAACTGGTTTGTTTGTGATCTTGTTTTGCTTTGTTTCTCCATACTCATTGCCGCCTTGCCTCCTGTGCTGGCGGGCCAGCAGGTTTTCCTGGAACAGGTCATGCGTCTGGCACCGAGCTGTGGCACTATCTGTTAGGCAAAAGGGACCATATGCCTGCCAGACAGCCCCAAAAAGACTTGTATTTAAGGAATACCAATGATGCAAAGAATTACAGTGATTGTCACTGTGCAGGTGAAACACTGAAACACAAAAACACCAACCGACTTCTCCTGGATCACGTATGGTTTCTGTGCAAAGCACAGAGCTGAAGGCGTGTCTGCAGTTCCCGAGCAGGAACTGCTTTGAAATCACTTTGCTTTGAGGTTAAGATCATAACGATGAAATGTTTATCTAATCAGAGCCACACACTGCTCTTAGAGCAGCAGAAGAGCCCGGCTCAACCCGTCACACTGCAGGTGAGGAGCTGTGTGTCCTCTGTCTGCTCATCTGGCAGATAGTTCAAACGCTGGTCCTTCAAATATCCGTCTGGGAAACCTGGGCTTTTGCTCACTGCTTGCTCAGAAGGAACTCAAGATGTTTGTTGTGTTGTATCTTGTCCCAGGTGGGATCTAATTCCTTAATTCATCTTCTCTTTCTATGTTTCAGATTTTGAAGTTTCCCGGAGTGCTGTGGCCCCGACCTGCGCAGGATGGACCCTGTTGTTCTCAGTTACATGGACAGTTTGCTGAGGCAGTCAGATGTTGCCTTGCTGGAGCCCCCAAACTGGCTTAACGATCACATCATCGGGTTTGCCTTTGAGTACTTTGCCAACCACCAGTTCCAAGAATTTAGTGATCAGGTTTGTTTTATCAGCCCCGAAGTGGCTCAGTTCATTAAATGTGCCCTTAGTCAGGAAGAAATAGCCATATTCCTTCAACCGCTGGACCTTCTCCACAAGAAGCTGGTGTTCTTGCCTATCAATGACAACTCCAGCCAGGTTGCTGGGGGCACCCACTGGAGCTTACTGGTTTATTTCAGGGACAAAAAGTGCTTCGCCCATTACGATTCCCACAGTAAATGCAACTCTGTCCACGCCAAGCAAGTGGCAGGGAAGCTGGAGGCCTTCTTAGGCAAAAGAGGGGGTAAAGCAACATTCGTGGAGGAGAAGGCACCTGCCCAGCAGAACAGCTATGACTGTGGGATGTACGTCATCTGCAACACGGAGGTTCTGTGTCAGGGATACTTCAGGGACCGCCCGGAGCCTTTGCTGCAGCTCCTCACTCCCTCCTACATCACTCAGAAGAGATCGGAGTGGAAAGCTCTCATCACGAATCTGGCGCAGAAGTGATCAAGATGCAGCTCCAGCGCCCCCAAAAACTGCCTTCCCTGGCCGCCAGGCAGCACCCCCAGTGCCTGAGGGAGATGCCCATGTGCGGGATTGTCCCAAAGAAGAAGAACCTAACCCCTCCAGCATGGCTACACCCCCCAAACACCCTGTTCCCTCCTAGAAAAGCCTTAGTCCCCTCTGGAAATCACTGGCCTTTGAACCTCTAACAAGGAAAGTCACTTTGCTTTCAAAGAAATCCTCCTCTCGATGGTGAATTTTTACACTAATCGCGGTGGCAAAATGGGTTGCTAAAGAGACTTCTCCACCTTTGCCCAGCAGGCAACACGCCCTCATTAGGTGGCTTTAATTGACTAGAGGCATTGCTGTTCCAAGCCAGGTTTAGCAAATGCCCTTTAAAATCAAGCCCCCAAATGCTTTATCATGGCTATTTCTAATTTGTGCCTCCCACTAGTGGTATTTGAGCAGTCTAGGATTTAGCAGCAAGGATTTTTTACCCCTGAAAACCTGATGCTGAGACGTCAATGTCAAAAGACGAAACTCCAAAGGAAATGCTACGATTATTTAAAGAATGGGGCAAAAAGAAAATCAGTTTTCTTCACATAGGTGGCTCCTAAGCTGTACAGCGATAGCTTTTTTTTTTGTCCCCCACCCCTGCTTGCTCTTATTACAAATTAAAACCTGACTCTGAACTGCTGGAAGATTAATAGGAAGCTGAGAAACCCAATCCTAGAAAAGGAAACTTAATTGAGATGAAAAGTGACACTCACTCTTTGAAGTTGTTTTTTTTTTTTTCATTATGATTTTAGGTCATCTCCATTCAGGGAGGGTTTGTCAGCGCTCCCCAACGCTCATTAGTGTTTGCCGTGCTCAGAGCGTACGAGGCGGTTGCTGCTTCCTCTAGCACAAAACCAGCTCTGTTACTCGAGATAAAAAACACACCAGGGAGAACAAAAGGACAGAGTCTGATATATAAAAGCCAAAGATAACTGCGGTCTCCTTGAAGCCCAAGAAGTCCTTAATACACTTCTCATTGAAACACTTTTCCTCCTGTTTCTGACAGCTGGGATCTCAGAGCAGATCCTCTTGTTAAAAGACAGGCTTAGCAGCAGGGAAAATAAAAATTAAAATGAGATGTTGTTGCAGGATAAGAAGTAATCTCTAACCTCATGAGAAGCAAAGAGGAGGTTGCTCAGGTGGTGTCTAGCAGAGCAACCACACCCCAGCGCGCCAACTGGATTAGGGAAAGCCAGGTTAAATGTAACCCTTGGAAGAGGGGGAAGGATTATGTTGAACCCAGCGCTCTTCACCCATCTTATTGCCAGCCCAGCCCCACCAGTGTGTGTACCAGCACAGCACCAAGAGTGGTGAACTGCAGGAAGGTCTTAAACTTCCCTTGTTGCTGAGAAGAAGGTAAGTAGCTACAGCCCAGGCTCTCCCAAAACACCCAAGCAATCACACACAGACAGCGGAGGGGCAAAAAGAGGGTCGGGGTCATTCCCATCCTTCATAGGCTGCCCAGACAGGAGAGCAGCCAGCAGATCAGGGCGTCCCTCTGAGCACCAGCCCTCCCTGGAAAACCTCTTCCAGCGCTTGGATGGAGCCAAAATGGCATCAAGCCACTCGCCGAAGGGGATTCGCACGGGGCTTTGCTGGAGCAACGTCACTGCCACCGTGAGAGGCTGCCTGGTCCAGAATAAAACTCACACCAAACTGTGTGTTTGTCAGCATCGTCCTGTCTTTTGTGTAGGTACCCGCTAACAAGCAGTGGCTCCTGCTGTCCCACAGTTCCTTGTGCGATGGTGTTGCGGCTGCAAGGGTTATAGCTTTGCAGCCACTCTGCACCCTGCAGTGGGTGAAACCGAGCAGAAATCAGTCTTGGAGAGCCAGCGAGCCTGGGGACAACTCCGCCAGCACCTCGAACAATAGCGAGGAGGCCATATGGGCTGATTTAATCTCCTAATCATATTTTTAGGAGTTGATTTGGGTTGGGGAGGAGCGCGGGCAGAGGGGAGGTAGGAAGGCAGGATGGTGGGTCTGACGCAGGAAGCATCGGGGGACTGCAGGGCAGGGGCTGCGCTCATCCAGAGGGCACCCTGTGCTCCCCATCCCCAAGGGGCAGGGCTGCCAGAGCCAGCAAGGTGAGCACCCAGGGACATTTCCTGCACCCAAGGCTTTTACATGACATTTCTTTACACAAAGAAAAGCAAATAAGCTCAAGCAGGGCGTCACCGGGAGAGCAAACACACTGACAAGGCAGGCAAACACTGGCTGGAGAACAAAACCAGAGCCTTGCAACCAGCTCCCAGCAGCAGAGACCCCCCCAAACCACACCAGGGGCTTGCCCCGGGCTCCTCCAAACCTCCTCCACATCAGCCAACTGCACCCACAGGTTGTCCCACCACTGGCTTCAACCAAAGAGCCCCGAAAGGAGCTGAGGTGGCTGTCACCACTGTCACACACCTGGCCCAGGCTCCACACAGGGACCAGGGACCCCACACACCTGCTTTGTGTTGGGTGCTGCAGAGCACCCAAAAAAACACCAGGCTGGGCACACGACCAAAAAACCCCCAATCCTAAACCTCTAAACCTCATTTTTGGGGCCACGAGCCCCACTTTGAGGTTGAACCCACTGAGCACCAACTTGTTTTTAAAAAAACACAACCCCAAACCCATTTCGACAGCTGCACCTGTAAAACGAGCTGGGCGAGTCCCTGGTGGGAATGGGGCGGCAGCGGGACAGCACCTTTCATCCACCAGGTCACCCACAAAATCAAAGGCTCTGACAGCCGCATAACACTGGGGCTTTGAAGAAGCAGCTTCAATAGTTTGGCCAGAAACATGGCTGAACCACAGACTGCCCCCCAGCACCCCAGGGTGCTAAATCTCCCAAAAAAATGGGGTGACACCACTCCAGTCCCCACTTAGCCAATGCCACCTCTGCTGTGGCTTTCAGGTTGGTCCATTTTCATGCATTTTGCTGCATGGGCCAGGCTGGTGGGGGGGATTGGGGTTGCGGATGCTCAGGGAGGAGGAGGAGGAAGGCTCACCCCGACCACCCCAGAAGGATGGGGCTGCAACTCAGCACCCTCCCAGGCATCCACTGTCCCCAGGGTGGTCCTGCCACCAGCTTTAGCGTCACATCCCACGGTATCTGCTGCCATCTAGTGAGAAAAACCTCCCTGGTCCCTACACCCGGAGCATCCCCGGCCCCGGGAGTCCCC